ATATACAAAAATCACAGTCATCATAAACAGTGTTGAAATTAAGAATACTATTTTCCAATTCAACAAACAAATCTAGTGAACTATATTTAGAACTTTCTGGAGGAATATACACTACTCCAAATATGCTGGATCTGTCTTTAAATTTAAACCATAAACAGTTTTCAGTGGCGTGATCCAGAAATATTACATTTGAGATTGATCTCTAGACTGGTCCCCTGCGAACTTCTAAAAAGTACGACAGGAAACCTCCAGCGAATGCAGTTATTTCATTGGTTAATCGATATATGTAAACAAATATGGCTGCCGGTGGCTGAAGAGCATACAGAAATTTGGTAATATTTCTGTTAATTTTACTTTTTCGAGAGGTTATATTTGCGAAATTTATTTTCATAACCGTAATATGTTAAATAAGTAAAGGCATGATAATCATGAGTACATGAGAGGACTGTTTGTTTTAGCCTCTGTTGGGAATAATTCGATGTAATCAAAGCCATTGATTAAGATCCGTCCCATTAACGATTCGACCCATATAATTCAAAGATTATATGAAATAAGATTATATTTCAAAATGGTTGTGGCTTATTTTCAAAATTGTTTAAATTTATAAAACATCAAGAAAACAGTGTTTTCTCCCTTTTTACACCCACAGGAACTTGAAATTCTATCAATATTAATGATAATATCCAAAAAATACCCCCTATACAGTATAAATAAATTTATTTATAGTATATAGGGGGTATATTTGGATATTATCATTAATATTGGTTATTTGATAGAATTTCAAGTTCCTGTGTTACACCCTTATATAGCACAAAACTCCAGGGACAGTTTCCTGCAGGGAAATTTTATTTTACATTTTTTTCTTCCCCTTTTCAAAATTTAAATGTTATTTCCTATGGTTGTCAGTCATCATGAAAATGATATACATTTCTTATAGGCAAGAAGAGTCTACTTCCTTTAACCAACCAGTACTTGTGTCATGTGGAAGAAACATGGTTCTGACCAGATTAGTGCTCAAATCCATGATCCATAGGTTGAAACATAGACACCTTAACACCAGGCCACTGCTCCTCTTAATTTTTTTATTTCTCACTGACCTTTCAAAAATTAAATAAATGATTCAAGCTTCAGCCAAAATAGAGAGAAAAGGAGGAACAAGTTTTTGATTTTGTTTATATGACATTAAAAATTTATTTATTATTGAATCACTGGTGATAAGGTACTTCCCCACAAGAAATTATTAACAGTATGTAAGGCTCCCACGTTTACAATTTTTTGTAAACGTTTACACGACTGCTAAGAACCGAAACGATACCGTTTAAACGGCGGTACCTCTATGTACTATACACACTATGTATTTGAGTCGCCAAATGATGTCTTTCTTTCTATTTTAATACATGTACAAATAAAGAATGTTCAGGGCTCATCACGATTGAGTCAGCACACATTTTTTTCATTGTAACCCCATTTTTTACCAAAAATGTATTATGTCACGAGCAATTTTGCACGGTAATGCTGTGTGGAGGGTTGTAAACACCCATTTTCCGTTTGTTTACTTTGGAATAAACCACTAGAATTGATAAAATCCATGATTACAGGCAATGATTAAGAAATTTTGTAAGACAATATGGTCATTTCGATTAAACGGTAAACAATATCGTAAACGTTTATGAATGAAAATCGAAACGAATCCGTTTAAACGTGTAATCGTGGGGGCCTTAACAGTATGCCACGATAACAATTTGCCAGAGTTAAATAATAATTCACTATTGCAGTGTTCCAAATTAGCAGTAGTCTGATAGCCCCTGACTACTAAATTTCTCCTCGGGCTACCAACTTTTCACAGTAACAACGTTACAAGCCCAACCAGGCTACTGTATTTTCAGAGGCAATATAAACAACTGTTTTGAACAAATGAATCGTGCTAGTGAAATGCCTTTGGGCTAGTGAATATTCCAATCTGGTAGTCCGACCAGCCAAGTCGATTCAAATCCTAATTTCTTACACTGCTATTGATGATTAAAGCAAAAATTGAGTTAAATTAACTAAAGGAATGAAATTTAAAATGGAAAATAATTCATAGGATTTCAGCAACAGTTTGAAAATGCCCCATTATGGATGTGAAAAAAAGGTATTTATACACATGGCGATTTGTTATGTGATGAATTTTTATTGTTGTGAAATGTAAAAGTGTCAAGTGGAAGATTGACCTACAGACTATTGCATGAATTTAAACAGATTTTGCCAACTTCACTTTTTTTTCCTGAATCCACCAGCTTGCTTGAAGCCTTGTGAGCAACTAGTGTGATTGATAATATAATTCCATGCTATCATCAATAATGGTTTAGGATATTTATGTGCACATGAAACATATTGTTGAAATTTACTTTAAATTTATTGTGAATTTGATGTAAACATTTCTTACAATTTCAGATGTATAGAAAGGCAGTATTTATTTTATCATGTTAGGATAATGAAAAGCAACAAAAAAATGGTCATATAGTCTATAGACTGTTATCATAATCTTCACTATTTTTTCCAACAGTTTAATACTCATTTAATGATTACGAATGTCAATGTCAATTTGTTGATACCACATCACAGTTTTTGTTTTTGTCAATTTTCAAAACAACCTTTGGCTTTCTGAAGGGAAAAATATATTTATAGCAAGATAAATCAGAAAAAGTGAAAATATAATAAATAAAATTCCAACAACTATGAATGGAATTCACCTACACATTTGATTAAATTATCAATTCAATTTAATATACATGGCATAGGCTATCTATAACAACTTTCTGTCAATTAATTTTATCAACAAGCTGATAATCATATAAGTCAGCTGCTGTTAAGTCATGGTTCTGGTGAATAATGTGCACAGGGCATTTCAGTTGAAAAATAGCATTTTGAGGAAAAAGTCTTTTTTTGGCTGTAAAATATAGGAAAATAATCACTGCTTAAAAGTAAGGTAGTAAACAAATACCAGCCAAAAATACTGTAATTATATTTATTTTATCATGTTAATATTGTTTCTGTAAATTTGTAGAAAGATGAATAGTTTTCTATAAACACTGTGGCTGTCAGATCCTATGTCTCCTATAGTTTAATTGGTAAAACACCTCTGGTTTATTGATAACTCATGCAAACTAAGAGGAGTTCTGAGTTCAAATCTCAGTAGGAGCAAGGATATTGGCTATAAAATCAAATCTGTAAAAGGATAAACATAGAATTATAAATGTAAAATTTTCAATTTACCTTTAGACCAATGTTTTAATGAACTTCAGATATAATTGCTAGTAAAATTTTGATAGAATGGCTATGTGAACTACCATATTTGGAATATTTATTTATTTATTTTTGTACATGTTAATAGTGTTAAAGAGCTTGAAATATAGATTAAGAATGGGGAGTAAGTAATAGGGATTTGATGGTCTACAGAATTTTATTTTATACAGGGAAGTGAAGGGGCTTTGGCTTGTCCAGCTATAGACTACACATGACATGATGTATATTTAAAAGGAAATCAAAAATTCAAATAAAAAACAATTAAAAAATATTTAGAATTCTCTAACTATCAATATAATTTTCAGTCTCAGTTTTAATAGGGTGCCACTATATTAAATGTAACTCAATGATAATAGGCTGGGTTATCCGATAATGGAACAATCACAACTTTTCGGATCAATAATAACATAGTGTTCCGAGTGAAAACAGAAGTGGTACATGAAATACCAAATGGGAAAATGAACAATTTTTTAACGACTTCCCGTCCATAGGCTTTGCCTAATTTCATATTAAATACCGGGTAAGTCAAATCAAGCTTCCAAAGAAATAAAGCTTTTTTTCATAATTCCAAACTTTTTTCATGGTTTCCTTGCCATTGAAATTTTACAAGTTGACCTGTGCTTTTCTTACATCTAAATGATTTTTAAACAAGTTATTTGTTTTTTGTTTTTGTTTTTACTTTTCAGATTTTAAACATGTGTTTGATCATAATCTGTCACTTCTTTTAAGAAACAAGTGAAAACAGTTCAATTTTTCTAAGGTGTTGAGACAGTTTTTTTGTTTTTATTTGGTTGCTATTTGGATTCTTTCTTCTGAAAGGCTATTATACCAGCCAATGGTGAAAATGTTTTGGAGGGGAGGGGGTGTGCCGTGGTAGAATTAACCATCTCTACATTGAAGACATGCATCTATGAATGTGACATTGTGTATACATTTCTTCCTGTTTGGTTATATTCCGTCACTGACAGTGGTATGTATGGCAAGTTAACCATTTTTCACATATTGTGTATCATAATTATGACATAAAGAATTACTTTAGTCAAAGAAATTCAAACATTTTTTACTGAATCGAGGGAAAAAACTTGTTTCTTTATTGTTGTTGTTGTGGCGTTCTATTTTTACCGTGGAAACCCAGACGCGGTTTCATTGGCTATTTTAATCTAGGACATTATCTGATTGGATAAGGCTAACAGGTGCTCGACTGGTTTTAATTTTGCGTTCATTGTCTCGTTGTTTGGAATATTTTATTTACGACGCAGTCCATTGGACAGAAATCTGTCCAATACGCTTGGGGGTTTCCTGATCCCATTATGGGCAGCCATCTTGGATGGGAACCATAATAGGACAGGGAACCAGATTAATTGATCTCAACTTTTCGGATTAATTATAATCGTCGAGTGTTCCGAGTGAAAACGGAAGTGGGTACATATAATACCGAATGACACCTTTAAAACGGAAAAATGAAAGGATTTTTTACCGACTACCCCGTTCATTGGCTTTGCCTAATTTCATATTAGTTCATAAGAACTTTCCGCGCCATAGGTAGCACCTAATTTCATATTATACACTATTTCTATTAGTTCATCAGCTCCAGCTTAATCATCAATCATTTTACACTCTATATCTATATTCTACATTATTTTTTTAGCGCGTTAGGCCCAAAATTTAGTGGAGTATTGCCGTATAAAAAAGAAAATACGCAAAAAAGATAAAACTGCACCGTCTTATTCGTACCCAATATATTTCAAACTAAATTTCATGTGTTTGCTCGCCGGCACATTTTCCTTGCATTGTATGTGATAAACAATATGAGGTTAACATATAGACTGCTCAAAAATGTTTCAAAAAGGGTAAAAAGCTATTTCTTTTTTAGTATTTAAATTGTTTCTGTGCTTGGTGTGGAATTCGTTCCATATTCTGGTTTCATGTCCATGTTCACTAATTCTAAGAGAGGGATTAGGAGAAGTAAAATACTTTTTGAAGAGGGTTGTCATTTCCATTAAGTTGTTTAAGGGGTATCACTTATTAAGCTGGTTTAAAATTGATTGTCAAATGATATGATCATCACTCTCCATCAGTGGCGTAGCTTCCTTTAGGCACTGTAGGCACATGCCTACACCTTTTCCTCAGAAATGAAAAATTAAATGATTACAAAAATGCAATAAAAATTTAAGGGTAAGGGCGATAGATGTGTAGGTCCTAATTTTAGAAAATGACCTGTCACCTTATTTGAAAATATATCGAGTGTTATTTCATAACGAAAGTGTTGACGTGTTATAAAGTTATTCTGTGGTAAATCCTATCAGAGACGCCACGGATAAAAGTTTTGACAATATAAAAGTTTTTGAGCCCTTCGACTCAAAATGTAAATATCACGACCAGGATATGCCATATCTAGATATCGGTAGTGCTAGCTTTATACAACTGATGAGGAAACTAAGTGATATCTTTCGAATGAAGCCTTGACATCTTGTCTTTTATATTCTCTTCCATTCTTAAGATATTCATGATTTAATTATGTGTACGTTATGCTGTTCAAACTGCATCTCCGTCAAATCTTGAGCACAAAACGCAAAATAGAATTGAAATCTGGCAAGTTCATAAAGTCGCTTTGAAGTAAACGTGAAACATAATCTGTGTTATTACATAAGTTTTTTAAAATGTATTTTAATGATAGTATACAAGTTATGTGTTCGAATATGTAGTATCATCGTACATGTTGAACTTGAGCTGACCTATGTATAATGCTTGTTTGCGCATGCTCCGTATTTCTAGTAAATCTAAGATCACATGTTAAGGGTTTACAGAATAAATTTATATCTTGTGCTGAACACTCGTCGTGTTTTACTTTACTTCATTGTATCAACGCACTTGGTTTAATTTCTATTAATTATTGTTCATAATAAACGAACATTACAACATGGTGTCAGAATGAAAACGTTTTATAAATAACCTGGACATACGAAAAAAAATTGGAATATTTATCTTAAAAAATAAAGTTACACAATTAAATTAATATTTGAAAACAAAATGGAATTATCTGGATTGTCAGTGCCCCAAATGGACTGGGAATCTTCGAATTTACCTGAAGCTTATAATAAATTCGAACGTCACGCAAAACTAATGTTTACAGGACCTTTGAAGAAAAAGTCTGAAGAAGAACAAGTTTCTTACTTTCTATTATGGATTGGTGATAAAGGGCGGGATATCCACTGCACGTGGAAAGATATTTCTGAAGACGATGCCAAAAAGATCGACACGTACTACAGAAAATTCAGAACTTATGTGCAACCTAAGCTCAATCCAATATTTGCTAGATATAAATTCTACAATCAAACACAGGGAGAAGAAACCATCGATTCATTCCTGACAAAATTACAAATCTGTGCACGAGACTGCAGTTTTGAAAACGCAGACGAAATGATACGGGACCGTATTGTATTTGGCACAAATTCTTCTAAGGTTCGAGAAAAGCTAATTAACGAAGGTGCAGAATTGACCTTAGATAAAGCTGTACAAATCGCTCAAAATATGGAATATTCCAAACAGCAATTGAGTTCAATGGCATCTGCGGCTGACAAGGACGTTCACCACGTGGCGAGACCTAGAAAACGTTTAATCCGAAGGCGGGAAAAGCCACAAGACAGTGACGACAAAATGACCTGTTCTAGATGCGGGACAACACATCAAGAGGGCAAAACGTGTCCAGCAAAGGGAAAAACGTGCAGAAAATGTGGCAAACTGAATCATTTCCAGAAAATGTGTAAATCACGTAATACTGTGAACAATATAAATTGTGAGTCAGACTTATCGAGTGACGATCAGGATTTCTATGTATGCACGGTAAATGATTTCAATACTTCTCGACCTGATTGCGCGATGGTTAAACTCAAAATTGGCCGAAAGTCCGCCCCTGTAAATTTCAAAATAGATACAGGTTCTCAATGTAACTTGATACCTCAAGAAATGCTCAAGAAACTAGATTTCAAAGGCCCCTTGCTACCCTCTGATGATAGGTTATCTTCCTACACTAAAGACCCTATCCCAGTTTATGGAAAGGTCAATTTACCCTGTAAGTTCAAGGATAAGGAAATCATTGCATGTTTTCATGTAGTAGGCAGTAAATCTCCAGCATTATTAAGCTTACAGACTTCAATAGATCTGAGATTGATAAAACTGACCTATGCTATAGAAAAACAACCAGTCACGTTAGATAAACAAAAAATCTTGACTGATTACAATGACGTATTTAAAGGCATTGGTTTATTCCCAGGTACATGCAGTTTACATTTAAAACCAAAAGCTATACCTCAACCTGTAATATGTCCACCCAGGCGTGTACCTGTAGCTTTACAGGACCGTTTAAAAAATGAGTTGAAGTCTATGGAGGATAAAGGAATTATCCAAAAGGTTACTAGACCGACTGACTGGGTCAATTCATTAGTCTGTTTGGAAAAACCCAGCACTGGAAAGCTGAGGGTGTGCTTAGATCCTAAAGCACTAAATGACAATATCATGAGACCGCACTACCCTATGAGGACTATAGAAGACGTGACAAATCAATTGACAGGTGCTAAGTACTTCAGTGTATTAGACGCAACGAAAGGTTATTGGTCGATAAAATTGACGGACGAATCCTCATATTTGACGACATTTAATAGTCCCTTCGGTAGATATCGATATTTGCGGCTTCCTATGGGTATCAAAAGTTCCCAAGACATATTTTGTCAAAAAATCGACGAATTCTTCGAGGACGTGACGGGCGTGACGTCAATAGTAGACGATCTTCTTGTGTACGGACGGACTATCGAAGAGCACGATGCAAACCTGACACGTGTTTTGGACCGAGCACGTGAAAAGGGTATTAGGTTTAACCCAGACAAATGTGTAATCGGCTCTCAGGAAGTTAAATACTTTGGTCACGTACTGACAGCTGACGGTCTTAAGCCCGATCCCGAAAAAATCAGGGCAATTGTAGAAATGAAAGCCCCAGAAAATAAGTCAGAGTTAGAAACTATTCTTTGCATGATCACGTATCTGTCAAAATTTGATTCAAAATTGGCAGAAATGGTAAGCCCTATGCGTGACTTGTTGAAAAAAGACATTGAGTTTATATGGGACAGTGCACAAATTGACGCCTTTGAAAAGGTTAAAGTCGCAATGACTAAGGTACCAGTCTTGGCATACTATGACCCGAAAAAGCCTGTCACATTGCAAGTCGACTCGAGTGCACGTGGTTTAGGTTGCACGTGCTTACAGGACGGCAAGCCCATTGCATTTGCATCAAAGACATTGACCCCTACAGAGAGAGGTTATGCTCAAATAGAAAAAGAGACATTAGCTATACTTCATGGTCTTCGACGTTTCAAGCAATATTGTTACGCAAGACATACCAAAGTTGAATCTGATTGCAAACCTGTAGTTTCAGTTATGAAAAAAGAAATATGTCGGGCGACCCCCAGACTACAACGTCTCTTATTACAGATTCAACAGTTCGACATAGAAGTCGTACATGTTAGCGGGAAAAGCATTCCCGTAGCGGATACATTATCCCGTCATTTTGTCAAGGACACGTATCCAGAATTGTCTGACGGCTTGACGTGCACGTGCACACGGTTATTAATAGTTTACCGGTTAGCGACGGAAAATTACAAGACCTCAGACTTTCCACACAGCAAGACAGTCAGTTTCAGACACTGAAACAAACAATTATTGACGGCTGGCCTGAATCTAGGCATGAGTGCCCGAATTCCATATTAGAATTTTGGAATCATCGGGATGAACTCTCGACTGTAAATGACATAATTTTCCGTGGTCAAACATTGGTCATTCCAAGTTCATTGCGAACTGAAATGATTAACGCTGTTCATGTAGGTCATATGGGAGTGACTAAAACGCTGAACAGGGCAAAGGATATTATGTTCTGGCCAGGCATGGTCAAACAGGTCACAGACCACGTGTTAGCATGCCCTTTATGCCTAACACACAGAGCATCAAATGTGAAGGAACCATTAAATCCCCACATTGTGCCCCAAAGACCCTGGCAACATATTGCCGCTGACTTATTCACGCTTGACGGACGTGATTACCTTATAACTGCGGACGTCTACAGTAATTACTTTGAAGTCGATGCATTGCCAGAAACAAAAAGTAAAACTGTTATTAGAAAATTAACAATGCATATGGCTCGCTATGGTCAAGTAGAGACATTGAAAAGCGATAACGGGCCACAGTTTAGCTCAGAAGAATTTCAAAAATTTGCTTCTGACTGGAATTTTAAGCATGTAACATCTTCACCTGGATATAGCCAATCCAATGGTTTCATAGAAAAAATGGTCTCAATAGCCAAAAAATCAATGAAAAAATGCCACGAGACCAAAACAGACCCATATTTAGCATTTCTTGAATACCGTAACACACCTTTAAACTGCGGCTATTCCCCAGCACAACTGTTAATGGGCAGACGGTTAAAATCCATTTTGCCTACAACTAATGAGCAATTGAAACCATCTTTCATTAACCACAAATCTGTAAGAAAATCTCTGCAAGAAAACAAGGTTACGCAAAAGAACTATTACGATAAAAGTTCGAGGTCACTTCCCCCGCTAAACAAAGATGACTCTTGCAGGGTACAATTTGGGAAAACTTGGAAACCAGCCATAGTTCTAAAAAAAGAAGGGGAGAGATCATACAAAGTGCAAACTGAAGATGGCGCTATTTACCGCCGTAATCGCCGCTTCATAAACAAAACGCGGGAAAAGTTCCCTATCAATACAGAGTCCTTCCCTAATATCCTCCACCAAGGTCAAGATCCTCATGATATAATCTCAAACAAAGCACCTTTAAATGA